TGAATGGGGGGGAGGGGGGGGGTGGAGAAGGGTGTGCAAAACACACAAAACGGGAAACCCATAAAAGTCAACGACCAAGAATGTTTCTCTCGCGGCTCTCAAAATTGACTTGATGACCAGACCAGATACGACCTCCCCCTCCCCCCGACCACCTCCCAAACGACCAAGTATGACTCTCCTGAAAGAACTGTCCCAACGATGTTGTACCCCAATTCAAATTGAAATAACTTGAGAGTATGTCAACCACCAAGAACGCGACCAGCGTTCCATGGTTGCTGAAAGGGAGAAGGAAGGACACGGTGAAGTTTTGGAGTGTAACTAGCCTTCCATGACATGACTGCTGTATGGTGAAGGAGGACACCAGATGATTTTTGAGAAACCGCCGAAAACTGGAACACAAAGGTGTGTTCAAGGTTATCAGTGAACACAAATAAATTTAGATATTTTCTGACTTCCTCAGCGTACTCTTAGAAAGCATAGATAATGGTGCAACAGAACATAAAGGTAGCAGAAAAATTCAGGAAATGATTGATTCAGAGCAGTGAGGATAACACTGACTATGCAGAGAGATAATCAATAAAGAAAGGAATTCAGCAGAGTCCGGTATACGTTTTGCAGGACTTTGTGTTGCTGTAATATGTGCAACTCCTGGCGCTATCAAGATTAATCACGAGTAGGTAATGCTCCTGGGTGGTCTGGAGGAAGGTCTGCAAAAACGAACAGTCATATTTTACCCATGTGTGTTCTGATGGGCCTACGCGCCGCGCCATCAATTTTGATGAACATCTCCTGCTACGAAACAGGTTAGTTTAACAGTTATGCGACTCGTCAGCATCGAGAGAATCAAGTGAAAAGTTCTTCCTACGAGTAACGGGAAAGTCTCCAGTTCCGTCCTGGACAATGCATGTTTTTTCGGTAACAAAATCCACAAAGCTTAGCATTTTTCCATCATGCTAAGCAGTGGGCCGGATGGCTAAAGGCGGGCTGCTGTTGCATCGCCATTGTCGGAAAGGTTGAGGTAGGGCGCTTGGCTACACCGCACTAAGCCCTTCCATCAGTGACGTTAGCCACAATCGCCCGCCCCAGTCTTCATGCTCATGGTCGTCAAGGTCCTTTCCTGAATCAACGAAGGGACTGCCCAAGCGCAAACTGCAGGTGCAGTAGTTCAGGAGAGTCGACTACACCCACTCTTGCAGATGTTTTAACATATTTTAAATCAAGACATTTATGGAGCAAGTGGCACTTGCTCGATAAATGCCTTGATTTGAGTGCTGTTTCTGTGAGCGCGAGCGCAGTGCATCATATGGGAAGAAAGGGATCAAAACGCTTGAGTACCAAGCACTAAAAACGTCGTATGGCTGTGTTGAGTTTCACGGCTCGACAAGCATTAAAATCGTCTTATGGCTGTGCTGAGTTTCACGGCTCGAGGGAGCGAAGCTCAAGAGGGCCTACAATCCACCGAGACTAAACGAAGAACGATATTCCGGGGAAGCAGCTGGTTTCTCATGGTTGTTCTATGCACAGCGACATGAGGTTCAGTTCTAGGCATCACGACTAGGCAACATGAACAACGGCTCTTCTTAAAAGTTGAATCAATAGGAAACAACTAAATCGGGAGCACCTAATAAATTAGCTATGCAGACGATGTTGTCCGAGACGCCACTCTGACTTTGCCCTCCTGATGCAGACGCGCTATTTCTGAACCAACGCACCGTGAACGGTGAGAAAAAAATTAAATTTTGAAACATCGAGACTTTAGTAAACCTTAGGAACTCGGAACATGCCCAACAAAACGACAAAGAGATATTAAGTAGTTGCACACACCCACTCGAGTGATCGAACCATCGCTGAACCGCGTCAGGTGATATGTGCGAAGTACGTGGTTCATTAACTCCTCTACTTCCTAATACTCCTTTCCATCACCCAAACTTCCAGCCTCAAAAGTGCTTACTAAAAATTTAGCCACTGCCGCACTTTTTCGAGTTGGGCTCAAACTGGGCTTGGCGCCACTCATTCACCTAGGCTCATTGACACTATTTCATAGTCAGAACACCGTGAGCATCAAGAACTAGCTAATGCGTGACAGAAAGTACAGTCTTCTTCGTTGCGGATGATTTGGCTGTAAAGGGGATGGGTTTGGCGCGGTTCCAACCGGTTTTTTTTCGGGTCAAGATTGTATGTTATCGCTGTATAAGTCGTTAGCGGGTTGGTGGCGTGCCAAGCACAGATCCACTAACCTGCCTCATCAACCGCAGCGAACAAGGCTAGCACCAACACTAACAACTGCAAACCGTAACGAATGGGTAGAGAATTTGAAATTCCATACCGGGAACACGTAGCCCTCTCCGCTTGGGTTCAGACGACGCTTATGAGGCTCGGATTCGTAGAACCTGAAAAATCAAAAAAGCTGTTCGCACATAAATTACAGTCAATCCACGGAAAACCATCGACGTTAGGAACAACTCGAGAATATTAGGGCATGAGAAAATTAGGTAAGAAGACATTCACTTCGATTATGAAACACAAAAAGGCACTAATTCTAAGTGCTCACTTCTTCAGAGCTTCCTCCTTTCCCTTCCATAATTCCTTCAACCAAATGCCGCTCTTTTCAAGATCAGAGGGTATTTCTTCGATATTGTACTTCTTCACATTGAAGTGAATGTTCTGAAAGGAGAAGCTATGAATGTCACGTAAAATTTACAGAGCCCAACAGTCCACTTTCATTAGTTTTCCCCCATAGCTTTTCATGCATTGCAAATCAACGCGCGGGAAGGTGTAAGAGGTAGTAGCGGCAAATGGCACCGCTTATAAGTCGCATGATCTGAGTCAAATACCGGATGGGCTCCCACCTGGGCCAACCAAGCTTCCTATCGTCCCGGAGCAGTAAATCGGTAGTGAATTTCTCTGGGAGGATAAAAAAACTGACTGGCACATCGGTTGACCTTCGCAATTCAATTCAGTATCGCTCTGCGATTCTGAAGGCGTGGAACGCGCGCCGCATTCCAGAGGGGCTGAACAGCAGCGAGGGTTCACTAGTTCGGCTCCGTGCGTGAATAAACAAGAGTTAGAAAGTATTCGTTCAGCATCGCGCCATCGGGTCGCTCCATTGGATCGCGCGACCATGACCGCGGGCGCCCCACCGCCGAACTGTGAACACTATAAAACACAAAACACTATAGAAATCAAAGCCAAGTAGCTAAGAAGTAGCCATAAAGTACAACGATAACGATGAGGAAGACTGATCAAGTAGCGATTGTTGTAAGACTGCGAATGTTTCTCACCTTAGGGAAAACTCCTTTTAACAAATTCGTTTCCGAATCTATGATCACGTCCTCATAAGCTACGGTAACATCGTATATATAAGAGATATAGTTTTCTGAAGAGTTGGGTTATCGGAACTGAAACGACCGCAACAAAAAAAAACGAAACGTACCATTTCTCATTACGTTCAATAGATAATTAAAACCAGTGGTTCTAGGATGAAG